GGGGGGGGGGGGGGGGGGGGTTACTTCCCTATATGGCCTGTATAGGTATGTGCGGTCCCGAAGGATATGATTTTTTTGCCGTTTTGGTCATAAATAGGGTATCGATTTTTACCATTTTGATCATTAATAGGGTCTGTTTTTTGCTCTCTAGTCTTGAATTGGGCATTTTTTTTTCTTTTAGAATAAGCTTCTTCTTTTTTATTGATAACAACGATCAACAAAAGCCCGTCAAAAGCCTTTAACATCGGTCTGAACTAGGGAACTAAGTGTATAAGGCAGGTAAGAAACAGGGTATTGATTTGGGTCAGGTAATAAATAGGCTATTGAAAATTGCAGATTTTGGTCATAACTTGGGTAAGGGTTTTGGGAAGCGGGCCGCACACCACCACCCAATTTTTCTCAGAGTACCCGCCCGGAAATATGGCAAACTGATTTGCTCTTGGACCATACTGTCCCACGAAATTCAGACCTTTTACAATGTTAACAAGTATCTAATGTTCTTGAACCACTTTTGTAACAAAAAAAAAACAGGCAAAATTACTAGTGCTGAGTAAAAATTCTTTGGCCAGATTTTTACGGAATGGTTGTCTGACTTAAAAAAAAATAGTGCAAGACAACACAACTTTATTATCACTGGCAAGAACCTGAAATAGTCGACCCTAATTTGTTTTAATTCAGTTGCTCTTGGCCGCTGCCAATAGTCATATTATTCTTTTAAATCGAACACCGCCTTTTACTGGAAGTTGGTCTGGAAAGAATCTGCCTTGCGACCCCTTCGCAATTTATTCAGAGGAAAATCATTAATTTACAGTGCAACTTTAAAAAATTGCTGTCTTTTTTCGTCTTACATTTTTCAGTATGATGTTTTCAGAGTCCACTTCCCTATCGCTTACTAACAACTCCAGCATCTAACAATACAGTGGCCGCTGCCAATAGTCATATTATTCTTAAATGACCCATTGCTAATCGGAGAGCGGGTTTTCAGGATTTGATGGAATTTAGATTTCTTGCCATACGATATGAGCTAATGGACCTTTCTAGTAGAATACGATAGCTGGCAGACCGCCATATCTTATATTCAGTCAGGTATTGTATGTCCTAGCTAGAGCACAGCTCTTTTTTTAGACGAGCATGCATGTTTATGAAAAAGGACACCAGATTAAGGAAATTAAATTCATTTGTCACAAAATTTGAAGAAGAATATGACAATTTTTATTGGGCTGAGTTTTAAAGGCTATACTCCATTCTATGTATGAATTATGAACGGTGTAGTAACTGGAGAGAGTTATGAGCGCTTAAAGAGCCTGTGTGGGTAGAGACACCGGATGAATCATGCCGTCAAATGAAACTGCCGGAGGAAACTTCATAATGCATTCATCACCTTCAGCCCAGAAATAACGTGATGTGGCACGAGTTACAAGACTTACCTGAAGCTTTCAGTACGAAGGATAAAGTCAGGACTACGGTTACAAGAACAATCGACTTCAGCATTTTTTAAATAACTTGGCTTGATGTCTTGGTATTCCTAGGAGGCCTACAAAGCGAGCTTCAATGAGG